ATGCGAGCCATTTGATCCGCAAAGGCTCGGACATTGTCAGTGGGAGATGGAGGATCCGCCTCATAGGCGTCGGGAGTAGGTGATCTCTCGATCCCGAGAGACAACACCGAACCCGAGTGTACCGATCCCGGTAACTCGCCATCTTCCTCTTCGTCATCAGGAGGCAGGGATCGAGGAGGAGGGGATGAGGAGACATCCCGGCTCTGAAGCTGCAGCGGAGCCACTGGAGGAGCTTTTGAGGCCGAAGCCTGAATGGCACTGGCCAGTCTCATTGTCTGTCTGCCCCTTTCCAGAGTCTGCAGTACCGGAGAGGTCTCCTGTCTGGCTGTCACAGTAGTCAACGCCGTGACCGACGGGAAGAGCTCCTGTCTGGCTGTCATGTGTCGAGTTGGCGCCTCGATCACCGTGTCCACCAAGATCACCGGGGACTCGGGTTGCTCCGAAGGCTGCTCCGGCAAGGGTTGTGGCTCCTGAACAGGCTGTGGGGCCAGCTGGGGTTCAGTAGGCTGTGACGGTGAAGACCTTGCCAACGAGGTGGCCGAGGAGGCAGTGGTCTGTTTTCGGGAAGAGGAAGAAGACGAGGATGGAGGCGGCATCGTCTTCTTCCTCTTTGCCGGTGGTTGAGCAGTCTTTGACAGCGATTTGCCCGGGGTGGGCGGGACGGAGGATGAGGTGGAGGCACGTCGAGACTCCTCCTGTGACCGGCGGAAGGCAATGCGAACCGCCGTGGAAGATGGCGGAGTTGCTGAAGTCGACTTCGTGGACCTGGCTGATCTCACCGACGCCACCGAGCTTGTCGACGAGTGCCGGATGCGTATGGTCTCAGTAGTGACCGTGCAAGGAGCCTTCTGCTTCATAGGCTTTGGAGCCTTAGAAGCTGCCGACACTGAGGCCTTTGAAGTAGTCGACATAGCTGCTCTCGGCCTCTTCTGTGCAGCCTTCTTCGCCCTTGACTGGCGAGGCTCGGCCCCTGTCAAGGGATCGACAGACGATGATGTCGGTGCCTTCGACGTCGTCGAAGGTTTAGACACCGTGGCTGATGTCGACGCCGATGTCAATGTTGAAGGTACCGGAGCCAACGTCTGTTGGTATAGAAGGTACCGAAGCCGATGGACCCGGTTTTTACGGGGGTTGTGACCTCACAACCTCTGAGGATGCTTGCCATAGATGCAGGCGAAAAGTCAGGAGAGAATGCTTCTAGAACATGGCCATATAGTCTGAAAAACCTACAACAACCCACAAAAAATATGTTTCATGGAACCAGCTGCAGAGAAAGGGAAAAGGTGGCAATGTAAATCCAGGTGGGGAACTGCAACATTCACACTTGTTGATTTTCCATCCATTGGGATATGACACAGGGATACACTTTAGCAAGATAAATATATAGACAATTAGATATATAGGTAGATATTTCTGGAGGCCTACTTCTGGTTTAAAAAACTTATTTAAAAATATCAAACAGTAGAGTGGGATGCAAAGAATTTAAGAGTGAATTGGGGTTTCTTTGGAGGCATCATTTTGTCTTTTGGGGTTATTTAAAAATTTATTTACAGTATTTATATTTCGCCCTTCTCACCCTGAAGCGGATCACAGAACATACATATGCAGCAAACAGTGTCATTTATACACAACTAGACAGACAATTATACATAGATGTGAGGAATATATACAGTGTTCCCTCACTTATCACAGGTGTTACGTTCCAGGACCACCTGCGAAAAGGGAAAATCCGTGAGTAGGGATTATATATATATATATATATATATATATATATATATATATATATATATATCTATATATCGATGAGGGTGAGGTAGAAGCAAGGAGAGATTTACACCACACACCTTTTTTTTGCTAGCTATAAGGGCTATGATTTACATACTGCTTTGTATCTCCTCTCTCTCTTTTTTATGATTGGCTGCCTTCCCAAGGGGAGGGTGAAATCCCCTTTTACACGCCATCATTGTCAGAAGGCAAAAACCTGTGAAATAGGGAGTCCGCGAAAAAGTAGCGAGGGAACACTATATTGGCTTTCCCCATCTTTCGGCATCCTGGAAGGTGTTGTGCTCAGTTCCGGCCACAGGGGGTGCTGTCACTCCATCACCCTGCCAAAGAGCTAGTTGTTCTTTGGACTGAATTGCAGGCATCTCTTCTGGGTGCCTAAGAATACCTCCTCAATGTTTTAAATGAGCTGTACCTATTTATCTAATAACATGTTTGCTTTCGAACCGCTAGGTGGGTGGAGCTGGACTAAAAGCCAGGAGCTCACCCTGACCCGGTTAGGCCAAAAAAGATACAGACCAACAATTATAAAGGGCCAAAGAGATGTAAAAACAGCCTTGGAGGTCACACCTCTGATAAACCAATGAAAAGAACAAATAAAACAGACCATCATAATGGGATGTTGTTTATTAAAATATAATCTCTATAAAGATACCATATTATACAAATACATTGCTACTATAGCTGCCTTCTCCAACCTGGTCATCATGGTTGGACAATGGGTGCTGTATCCATCACACCTGGAGGGAAATTGGTTGAAGAGAGCTCAGTCTATAGTCACTTGCTGTACAAGACTTGGAATGATTGCTACACAGGACTGGCTTTGAATCCCAAGAAGGAGAAGAGCCACCCAAATATGTTCCAGTTGAACTGAAACTCTGGGTTGTAGCTCAAGAAAGTCCCATCTTTCACAGAAGGATTTCGGAGTCCTCCAAAGAGTCATCTGCATACAGTAGTTCAGCTGTCAACATGCTTCCTACAGGTAAGGTACTGGCTTCAGACCACAATATCCCGTTCTGCGAAGGAGTCTCAGAGAGCAGAGGAATATCTTCTTCTGTCGTTGTCAGGTTCTGTCCCGCACTAACTCCACTTACAACATACCTGTCCTCCATCCCATTGCTCTCATGGATGTCAACAGTGACGACTGTAGTCTCTGGTCTATGAGAGCAAGACTGTATGATGTGATCAGGATCAAGGTCCGTGTCTATCTGGGGGAAATCGGCATCTTCGTCCAGCTCATCTGTGCTCTCCTCTAGCAAACTTGTGTTGATGTAAATGATGCTGTCAGGTTCACTCAGGTCAGGCAAAGTTTTGGACAGCTTCTCCAGGTGAAGCTTCAGGTCTGAAAAGGTGGGCCGATCTACAGGATTTGCTCTCCAGCATGAGCACATTATTTCATACCTAAAGTTTAAAAAGAAAATATAATGATGGCACACATGGCTCTTTAAAAGAACCCTACAGGCCAAGATATGATTGAGTCAAAAAGTGCACAGGAACCCCAAATGTTGTTTGGTCTAAAACCTCACCCATGCAACAAATACAATGACACGGCACTCATGGTATGCAACTATCCAATCTCTTACCATCCAGGCTAAATGTACTTACCACATTTAATCTTTCGTCACCATACTACAATTATTTGCCTCTTGACATATTCTAGTTGAACCTTCAAAGCATATTGTGCCCCATAATGGAGCCCTCTCTATTAACACCACCAGGGATTCATTCAGCTCTCTAACATATTGTTGGACCACAAATCCCAATGCTCTAAAACATTAGCTCTGGTTGCTCGGGCTGCTGGCAGTTGCGGCCTGACAACTTCTGGACAAATGCTTTATAATCTTTTCTTTCCAGCCTGTCAACTCTCATACAACAGAAGTGAAATGTTTGTCTTGAATTATGGATTGCTTGGGCCCCACCCAAGCTTTCAGTAAAGCAAGAAGCTATTCACATCTCTGCTGCTATTCCATGGCAGTTAAAGTGATGTTTTTTTTTTTAATGCCAGGAGTAACTTGAGAAACTGCAAGTCACTTCAGATGTGAGAGAATTGGCCGTCTGCAAGGACGTTTTCCAGGGGTTGCCCGCATGTTTTACCATCCTGTGGAGGCTTCTCCCATGCCCCTGCATGAGAAGCTGGAGCCTACAGATGGGAGCTCACCTTGCTCCCTGGATTTGAACCACCAACCTTTTAGTCAAGTAGTCCTGCTGAAACAAGGGTTTAACCCATTGGGTCACCGGGGGCTCCATTATGTACATCTTAATGCACAAGAAATGGGAACCTGCAGCAAATGTGGTTCTGTATCAGGACGAGGAACATTTGGCCCACCAGGTATTTCTGATCTGTGTGTATACGCCTTCAAGTCACCTGTCAACTTATAGTAATGGTATGGATTCCATTTGGGTTATCTAAGGCAAGGGATACTCAGAAGTGGTTTTGACAATTCCTTCCTCTGAAATATAGTCCACTGATCATGCTATCTAGAGCATGCATGGGCAAAATTTGGGCCTCCAGGTGTTTTGGACTTTAATTCCCACAATTCCTAACAGCCTACTGGCTACTAGGAATTGTGGGACCTGAAGTCTAAAACACCTGGAGGGCCGAACTTTAGCCATGCCTGATTTAGAGCATCTGGAAGTTGAAGTCGAAAGCAACAAAGGTTTGTTGCATCTGTTCTATATTTATCCCAAGGAGACATCAAAACACCAGGGAGAAAGCAACAAAAAAACCTTGTGTACCATCCAGACACAATAATCTAGAAAAATAGGTGCACTGACTTTGGTGAAATTCATGTTCCTTTCAAAGTTACTGCCATCTGGGTCCCTTTTGATTTTATGTGCCCTTGCAACAACAGCCTCTATGCATCTCCAAAGAGTAATGCCTAAGGCAGTAGTTCTCATCCTGGGGGTCCCCAGATATTTTGGTCTTCAACTCCCAGAAATCCTAAAAGCTGGTAAAGTAGCTGGGATTTCTGGGAGTTGTAGACAAAACACCTGGGGACCCACAGGTTGTGAACCAATGGCCTAAGGCAAGGGCAGGGAACAAACCTCAAAACTTTCAGTTTCTCAAGGTGGCAAGGTAGCAGACATGGCTCCTCCTTGTGCCGGTAAGACTGGTCGACTGACAGGTCAGCGGTTTGAATCTGGGGAGTGGGGTAAGCTCCCGTCTGTCAAGCTCTAGCTTCCTATGCAGGGACATGAGAGAAGCCTCCCACAGGATGGTAAAACATCAGTCATCCGGGCTTTCTCTGGGCAACGTCCTTGCAGACAGCCAATTCTCTCACACCAGAAGCAACTTGCAGTTTCTCAAGTTGCTCTTGACATGAAGAGCAGACACGGCAATTGTCTTGAGCAAGGATGGTGTTCTGCAATACTATGAGAATCAGCAACAAATTACTACATATTATTACCATATGAAATACTTACAATTCATCTAAACAGTCTTCTGGTTGCTTCAGCCTGTTTCCATGGAGGAGGTAGTCGTATATTTCATGGTTCTGCACACCTGGGTATGGCGTCATCCCTCGAGTTGCTATCTCCCACATTGTAACACCAAAAGCCCACTACAAGGGATCGAGAGAGAAACGAACATTCAGGTGACATTGAAGACAGATTGGTTCAATAAAGACAGATACTTTCCTAAGGATATAATCTTATCCACCCAACTTTCTTTTGTTTGACTCACTCTGAAGCAGAGGGTCTTCAATTCCCAAAAATCCAGGAGATCAGTGAAGAAGGAAGAGACAGAGACAGCATTGCAAGTTCACAGAATTTTAATGCTTACCCGGGTAAGGGCACCACAGCTCCAACCTGGCTGATGTGGTACAAAGCACTTAACCCAAATCACCCAGAATTTATAGGCAAAATTACCCAGTTCGCACATGCGTACAACTCACTTGACATTTACACAATCTAATCAATTTGGCCTCGAGGCATCACAGCCAAGAACATTTGTTGGCAAGTACACTTGTTGGCAAGATAATACAATTTCCACAACTTCCCCTTACATCATCTTGACCATGTTCCCCAATGACTTACATTAAAAATGAATCTTTAAAATGAATCATAACTTCCCATATTTCTCCATACATCATATTATATGATTCCACACATCTTCTTATATGTTTCTTTAACTTATTCAAAGCAAGCGTTTCCCTTATTAGTCCTTCTTTTGATTACATTTCACCAATATCTTAATTTCCTCAATTGATCATTATAAAAAGGTATATTAACTTTGTCTACTAATTACTTCAACCAGACAGAAGGTGGCGCTGTTATACCATATCTTCAGATGTTTGTTCTTCTTGGATCAATAATTATCAATTTGTTCTTGGCACCAACCCCTTTCAACCTTCCACATTTAGCCCAACTCCGGCCTTGGCTTCCTCAAATATTGACTTAAGATACAGCTTCTCTTGCCTTGCTTCTGTCCTCCAGACCATCTGTCATTTTCCCTTGCACCAGAATTACCTCTCTGCACCTCTAAGAAATCTTCCTAAGGTAAAACTTCATTCTTTCATTAATTTCATTAAATTATAATTATTTTTCTTCTCAACGACTGCCACAACTCCAGCATTTTATTTACTACTAGCCGTCCCCTGCCACGCATTGCTGTGGCCCACATGGGGGTTCTGTGTGGGAGGTTTGGCCCCATTTTATTGTTGGTGGGGTTCAGAATGCTCTGTGATTGTAGGTGAACTATAAATCCCAGCAATTACAACTCCCAAATGTCAAAATCCATTTTTGAGTGAAGGACATACATTGCGTTGTTAGGTGTCTTGTGTCCAAATTTGGTGTCAATTCGTCCAGTGGTCTTTGAGTTCTGTTAATCCCTAAACGACTCCGGCCCAGTTTACCTGTCCGAACGGATTCTCCCCTATGAACCATCAAGATTGTTAAGATCTTCTGGAGGGGCCCTGCTCTCAGTCCCACCATCCTCGCAAGCGCGTCTGGTGGGAACGAGGGACAGGGCCTTCTCGGTGGTGGCCCCTCGGCTCTGGAACTCTCCCCCACTGGAGATTAGAACTGCCCCTTCTCTCCTGACTTTTAGAAAACAGGTGAAAACTTGGCTCTGGAAACTGGCATTTGATGAGTGAGTCAATAACTCGTGACTACACGGACGGATGGTGATGAACTACGATTTTATTTTGACGACTTGGCCAATGTAATTATGTGATTGTATTTTAGTATTTTAATGTTTTAGTGTATTATGGGGTGGGATGTTTTTAAACCATTGTCTGTGATACTGTTGTTGTGAACCGGCCTGAGTCCCTCTACGGAGGTGAGAAGACCGGTATATAAAAGTTATAAACAAACAAACAAACAAACAAACAAATAAATAAATAAATATCTGACAAACGAACATTACATTTTTATTTATATAGATTTTTGCAAATCTATATGGGTAAAGGTTTTCCCCTGACATTAAGTCCAGTCATGTCCGACTCTGGGGTGTGGTGCTCATCTCAATTTCTAAGCCGAAGAGCCGGCGTTGTCCGTATACACCTCCAAGGTCATGTGGCCGGCATGACTGCATGGAGCACCGTTTTTTGCAGTTTGCTTTCAAATAACTTCTGGTTTATGACAACCCTACTACAGTGTTTTCTGGGATTGAGAGCACGTGACTTGCCCAGAGTTATTCAATAGATTTGCATGACCAAATGGGGACTCGCACCTTGGTCTCCAAAATTATAGTTCAACATTTACAGAGATTCCAATACACTCACAGAATTCCACACCTTCAATTGCACTTCAGTTTAAATTTTAAAAAATGCATGCGGAAACCTAATGGAGGTGAACACATATGCGAATTTAATATTGTTATCTAAAATATTCTTGGTTCCAACTCTGCCTAGTCCACTAGGGAAAGTTATAGTAATAGCCTGATTTGGTTTATGTAATAAGAAAGAAGCTATTCAGCTCTGGAGTCAAAGTTAATATTGTCAACATTGGACTGCCAATGTAGCTATATATAACTGCAGGCTGACCTGATAACATCAGCAAGCAATACTATTTGTCTTTGTGCTGTGAAAAAAGCAAACACCCTTCTGATTTCTTCATATAGCGGTGCCAATGGTTCAAGTGACTACTTTAAAACAGTCATGGAGAAGAAAAAAACACATCACCAAAAGGAATGGCAAAAGGGGACAGACATGTAGGTAAAACTGGGTTGCTGTAAGTTTTTTTGGGCTGTATGGCCATGTTGAGAAATGGAACATCTAGAATATGGCCATACAGCCCAAAAAACTTACAGAAACCCACTGATTCCAGCCATGAAAGCCTTCAACAATACAGGTAGGTAAAAATCTATATTATAAAATTATGACTATAATTCTAATTGACATACCACATCGCTTTTTGTTGTGTAGACCCGATCTGCAAGACTTTCTATTGCAATCCACTTAACGGGCATCTTTGCAATGCGCCCTTGCCGATAATAATCTCCACTGTAAATCTTCTTGGATAATCCGAAGTCGGCTACACACACAGTCATGTCATCCCGTAACCTGGTCATTCATTTAAGATACAATTTCAATATAAATAAATTGTAAAATGGAGAGAGAGAGAGAGAGAGAATAATAACATAAGTGCTTATGATTTAGGGTGCATCTTATTGCAGTCTGACACCACTAATAGTTGTTTGACAAGGTGTTTAGCCTTCTCTGTCAAAGAACACTGGTGTTTCATCAAACTACAACTCCCAGAGCATTGAGCAATGGAAATTAAAGTACACACAAACAGCATTAACTCTACAGTGTAGCTGCATCCTGATTTAAAAGGTAGACCGATTCATGAAGGATAATGTTGCACAGGATTATTTCCTGCACCATCCCCGGGGAAAATTGAGTATTAAGAGATTAGAGGTTTCTAAAAGACACTTATCAACAACTTTACAAATACTGAATCCCCGAGGAAACATTCAGAGTTCATGTTAGATGTCGTACCTTAGAGACACCTTTAAAGATCCTCATATAGCAATATGACAACAATCTGCATTGATCGGTTGTGCCCAAGTACAATTCTTCACTGTGTATATTAAAGTAAAGCTAAAATTTTCACCATGACATTAAATCTAATCGAGTCTGTCTCTGGGTGGTGGTGCTCATCTCCATTTTTAAGCCGAAAGCCCAGCATTGTCCGTAGACACCGCCTAGGTCATGTGGCCACCATGACTGCATGGAGAGCCGTTACCTTCCTGCAGAAGCGATACCTATTGATCTACTCACATTTGCATGTCTTCAAACTGCTAGGTTGGCAGTGGGAGCTCACCTCGCTCCCCGGATTCGAACCACCAACCTTCTGGTCAGCAAGTTTTGAAGCTTAATATTTTAACTTGCCGTGCCACCGAGGGCTCCATCATGTATATTAGCCACTTAAAATATTAGCTCCCTAAAATAATTATTCGCAAATTTAGAGATGCAATCAGAAAAACTTTATCTTTGCCTGTGGCAAATCAAGCACACAAATCCGAATTTACTTTTCACTGTTCTGAGTAGAAGAGGGAAAATAGTGATAACTCACATGCAGTTTCGAGCCGCCAGGTCTCTATGGAGGAAGTGCTTGTTACTGAGGTACTCCATTCCCAGAGCAATGTCAATCATAAACTTCAATAAAGTTTGTAGTGGTACATACTGGAAAGAGAAGAAGGGCAAATATTACGTTACATTGATTATATTCATCAATGTAATCATAATAATTAATAACAACACAAGGTAATAATAAAGCTGGCTCTACACTGGTATATAATACAACTGCATTAACTGCATCAAGCTGGATTATATGAGTCCACACTGCCATAGAATCCAGTTCAATGTGGCCACTTTCACCTTAAACACCCATCACAACTCAGTTTAAGACAATTGTCTTACTCCTATTTTATGCAAATTTTCCTATTTGAAAATTATTATTAAAATTATTATTAAAAAAATACCCATCACAACTATGTTCATAAAATTCATGTAATTTAATAGCAAAGAAAAACTGTGGTTTTGGGAGATACTTTACAGGGTCCCTTAGTGGCCAATGGATTTTGAAGCCATGAGTTTTAAAGAAACTTTGAAATGTTGAAAATCACATTGGCAGTGCTGCAATGTGGCAAATAAATAAGAGCAATAAAATATTTTAGTACATTGTAATACTTCAAACTGCCATTAGAAGGTAGTATAACAGAACGCTGCTTTACTTGTATAAGGAAACATGGTATGTGTTGTCGAAGGCTTTCATGGCCAGAATCACTGGGTTGCTGTGAGTTTTCTGGGCGGTATGGCCATGTTCCAGAAGCATTCTCTCCTGATGTTTCGCCCACATCTATGGCAGTCATTGTCCTTTCTCCCATACTGGATATTCCACAGATATATAAAACCTCACTTAGCTAGTTTCCAACAGACCTCACAACCTCTGAGGATGCCTGCCATAGATGTGGGCGAATGCATTCTCAGGAGAGAATGCTTCTGGAACACAGCCATACAGCCCAGAAAACTCACAGCAACTCAGAAACATTATCCTTTCCTGTTAATCTTACATGTGTAATTGTACTACTGTAGAATAGAAAATCTCTTCCTGACCTAACACCACAGTTAACACTGCGTCAGAAAATGCCTTCTCAAAAAAAAAAAAAAATGAGGAAAAATTGTTCATTGCCAATTTCTGCACAATGGCAAACAGAAGAAGGCCCTCATTGATGATTCCCAATTATGTGCACAGGCATCATTTAATTTTCCGCTTGTTTGCAACTCACGCAGAATCATATGGTGCGCTATGAACAGCTTCATTGTTTATCGCCACTCAGCAAAGTAATCATATATTTACGGCAATGTTCTATTATTGTGTTATCGTTAGCAAAATAAAATAAAGTAATTGTATCTTATTGTAAGGGATTGTCATCCACATGTGCAATGACTTCCTTCTTACTGAAAGTGATGTCAGTAGTATTTTGCTATTTGAGTAATGCTTCTCTAGTGGGAAGAGTCAATCAAATAACCCCACACGGCTTGTGTAACGAAACATAGGAAGGTCACCATTTCCAGAACAATTACAGCTTTTTTTCGAGTGTTCTAGTTCAAGAATGACAGTCTGTCCATGTAGGATGTAAACAAAAAGACCACAGTCTGTCCAAATGGAGGAACGTGTTTACAGAAAGCTGTCATGTTGCCCACAATCGGGCTTTGACATCAGTGTGCTTTTGAACGCATGCTGGGTTTCCTTCTCTTTAGTGTCTATGCGGCAGAAGTATCCTGTCCTTTATTACTCACCAACAATGACACAACTAAACAACACTCAAAGGTCAAGAGATGACAGTATAGCAGAGGAACACAAGAATGCAGCCATTGACTGCTCCAAATCAAGTGACAAAACAGACTGGTCATCACACTCACTCCACCAGTCATAAGTTCTTGCTTGTTTACAATTTGAGATCAAAACATAACATTATCTACCCCTCCAGTGTTGTTATGACAGGCGCACCAGTCTCATTTCTATAGGAACCAACTCTGATAAATGGAAGGACAGACATTATCTCTCCTTCTAAGGGACTCGACCTCTAACTGTTGCTCCGTATTGTGATCCCTACGGGATATGGCATTTAGGTAGACTAACATTACAATCATAGAATCATAGAGTTGAAAAAAACCACATGGGTCATCTAATCCAACCCCCTGCCATGCAGGAAAAGCACAATCAAAGCACCCCCGACAGACGGCCATTCAGCCTCTGTTTAAAAGCTTCCAAGGAAGGAGTCTCCACCACACTCTGAGGCAGAGAGTTCCACTGCTGAACAGCTCTTACTGTCTGGAAGTTCTTCCTAATGTTCAGGTGGAATCTCCTTTCCTGCAATTTGAACCAATTGGTCTGAGTCCTATTTTCCAGGGCAGCAGAAAACAAGCCTGCTCCCTCTTCCTTACGATGTGCTTTTAAATATTTATCCATGATGATCATGTCTCCTCTCAACCTTCTCTTCTTCCTAATGTTTTCTTGCCATCCCTCCTGTTACATGAATCCACAGCTTTGGACCTTTATCTTCTGGGACATTATATCCTGCTACCATCTTCCAGAAGGGACTCGGGGTGGCTTACAAAACAACAATCCAGTTATAGAATGATAGCTATCATATTGTCTCTATTCCAAGCCTCAAAGACCTCAAAATAAGAATACTAATATAGGTTGAGCACTACTAATCTGGAATTTAAAATGCTCCAAAATACAAAAGTGTCCACATTAACAGCTGAGATAGTAACACGTTTGATTTCTGATGGTTCAATATATACAAATTTTGTTTGATGCACCAAATTATTTTTGAAAGATTTTGTGTAAAATTAACTTCAGGCTATGTGTATAAGATGTGTGTGTGTATGTGTATACACACACACACCATAAATTATTTATTTATTTATTTACAGTATTTATATACCGCCTTTCTCACCCCTGGGGGGACTTAAAAGCAGTTTACTGTGTTTTAACTTGGGTCCTATCTACATGATTATGCACAGTTATTCCAAAATTTGTAAAAGTCCAAAATCTAAAGCACTTCTGGCCCCTAGCATTTTGGATATTCAGTGTGTATATATTTATTTCAAATGTCCTGCCTTTTAATAATTTTATATGTTCTTGATGCTATGACTTGCTTAAATGATTTTTAAAATATCTTCTGTGTTTTATATTGTTTCTGTAAATTTTTAATCTATTCTAGTTTTAACAATCTGCAAACCACCTTGAGTCCCAGTATTGTGAAAAAGGCAGCCTATCAATGATATACTTGTTGCTCACCTCTGGTTGCATCCTATGTGGAATGACATGGTATTTTTATAGCATTCGCACAAACCTTGACTACCTCTATCCAGAATCCCAATTTATATTCTGCAATAGGGCATCATATTTTACACTGAATTGTTGATTACCTGCGTGCCCATTCCAAGTCTTGAGCGAAGAAGAAAACTATGCAAATCTCCGTATTTCATGAAAGGGAGAATCACCATGGGCTTTGGAACCTGCTGAGAACTTGGCTCTATACACACACCTAGAAAGAAGGGCAAGACATAAATCAGTAAATCACTCTAGAAGTCAGGAAAAGGCAACTGACTGATATCAGAGGTGGGAAGCATGTGGGTCTCCAAATGTTGTCAGACTGCAAGTCCCAACAGCCCTAGTCAATATAGCGAATGAGGAGGCATGCAGGGAGGAGCAGCCCAACAAAACCAGATGAGCTGCATGATTTCCACATCTGACCTAGAAGGATCTCTGAAGACCACACAACAAGATACTATGTATACAGTGGCATACAAAATTACATCATAAGGATATAAGATCAAATGGAATCCTCCTTCCTAGAACATCAAGACAGATTAAAATAATTATTTACTCAGCGTATACGTAAACTATCGAATTAATCCACATAGGATGGGCAACATCTAGGATGGGTCTAAACGGGCATTAAACAGATTTGTAGAAAAGTTGAAGTTAACATGAAGTAATAATAATGGTTGCGGCATATTACCTCCAATGCAAGAGGCAATTTGCCATAATGACAGCTGGGGAATGTGCGTGAGAGGATGCTATTGTGGCCATGTCCTACTTGTACGCTTCCCATAAGCACCTGGTTAGTTTCTGTGGGAAACCGAATGCTGGATTAGAGACCTTTGATCTGATCCAACAAACATCTTCTTCTCATCTCATTTCACATAGTAGCTAATCCAAAGCCTCCAATAAGTCTGTGTGCCATGAAGCGACACACATGGGCTGACGTTTGCCTGCCTAGCCAGCTGGTAGTACACAGCTTCTGACTACCATTGTACTAATTTTCTATTGCATTTAACAGGAGCTAACGTTCACAGTTCTGTCAAATCGTACAGTTTTTACTGTACGATTTTAATCTGTACGATTTTAATCTGTAATGTTGATGTACTTTGTTTTTGTATATTATTATAATTTGCATATATGCTGTAAACCGGCCTGAGTCCCTCATAGAGGTGAGAAGACCGGTATAGAAAACTTCTAAATAAATAAATACATAAATAAAATCCCCTTAGCTGCCATATCTTATTGTAGAAATAGCTCAAACTCCACTTCTAAAAATAAGGGGGCCACGGGGCAATGTTGCATTTATATTTATTTATTTATTTATATCATTTTTATTCTACCCAATTTCAACCCGAAGGTGACTCAGGGCAGCGTACAAACCGGCAACAATTAGATGCCGTCTATAAAACATACATAAGTCAGTTAAACAATTTAAATCACAACCTAAATACATATAAAAACCATAACAACTATAAAAACTATAAAAGTCTATAAAAACAGTGTCTTAATCCAATTCCTCATCCATTTACATCGTATTTAGCTGTTTCATATTCATATTCCAGATTGTGTTTATTTGATCATGCTGTAGTTTCAAACGCCAGCTCAAAGAGCCATGTTTTCACCCTTTTCCGAAAAGTCAGGAGGGACGGGGCTGATCTAATATCCCTGGGCAGGGAGTTCCATAGCCGAGGGGCCACACTGAGAAGGCCCTGTCCCTCATCTCTGTCAGACGCGCCTGTGAGGCAGGCGGGATTGAGAGCAGGGCCTCACCAGACAATCTTAAATGTCTAGAAGGATCATAGGAAGAGATGCGTTCAGATAGATAAGCTGGGCTGGAACCGTTTATTTCCCAGATGTGAGAAAATTGAAAGTTTGGAGGTAAGGTAAAGAGAATACGTTGTTCTTCCTGAGCCTTGTAGTATTCTGACTGGATGTGTGATCCAATACAAAAGCCAGCATAGTGATCTTGTTTGCTAGAAACTAATTTTATTGTGTAGCTCTAATAATAATAATAATAATAATAATAATAATAATAATAATAATAATAATAATGCATTTTAATTATGAAAGTGTTTGGCATTGAATATTTGACATTTTTCTGTTGGAATCTGCCCTAAGTCCCCTTGGGGAGAAAGAGCAGAATATAAATAAAGTTTTATTATTATTTATAATAATAATTACTATTTCCAATACTGAGTGATGACTCTTCCCCACACCTATGGCCCATCTGCACACAAGATTCTTTTTGATGAGCTTTACTATGAATCTATATTCATTCTAGTCATAAATTAGCAGCCAATTTCCAAACTGGAAATGCTTCCATGCTGTTCCGTTAATTTTCCAAAATTCATTGAGAGTATTTCCCCCCCACTTGCCTACACTGACATGATTGTTTTCATATCGCTGGGACACTGCTCTGAATTTAAACTCAGACTTTAAAGAAGTTATCCAAGGTACTGAAGTCTATCACCCGAATAGGCTTTACACTTTGGACAACTCCTTAAAAATCTGTACTAAAACCCAAAACAGATTCACTGCCCCGCTGAAGGAAGCTACCAGCTGCCATTCCCTCAAACTCTCTTGCCCTCAGAAGAACAAAAGAACAGTCATGTTGGATTCTTATACCAAAAGCCTGTGCATTCTGACAGACTATTCACATAAGCAGTCAGTCAATTTCAATAATCACCCCTCTCTTTTTCTTTCCGCTTGACGCGTGGTATTCTTTTCCTAATTTTCCATTTACTAAGTATTTCTCATGGTTTTTGGTTATGTGAGTTTCTTGTAATGCTATCAAATCCAAATTCTTTTGTTTTAGAAAATTAAAGACTTTTTTCCTTTTATTTGGTGAGTTGAGACCGTTGATGTTATTGGAGTGTATCCTTATTTCCCTATTCATGGCTATTGTCCGTCATCTCCCACTGTACAATTTCCTGGTGAGGTATTAGTTGGTAATTTTTGGGTGAAAATTCCCTTAATCTTTTGTTTTCCCTCATTTCTTCTGATCTCCACGGTGTGTACAGCTTATTCTCTCCTCTCTCTTCCTCCTCTTCTTCTTCCCTTTCTTTCCCGCTTTCCTGATATACTTCATGTTTGTCTTGCTTGCTTAGTTCCTTTCCTATTGTATTGCTTTGGGATTTCCCTTGGTGGGCATCTTGCGGTTTTGTTTTGATATAATCCATATAGAAAGCCCTTGCTTTTTCTACTGTATTTAGCCAATATTTCATTTCCTTGAAGGTTACGGTAATTCCCTCAGTCTTCTCCCATTTGAATTTTATTTTTTTCTTAATTAACTCCTCCGTGAGAAAGGCATATTTCCTCCGTTTAGCCAACGTTTGCTGCGTTACTTCTTTCATGATAATTATTTTTTTCTCTTTATAGAACACCGATTTTTTTGCATTCTCTATAAGGATCTGATCCCTTGTGCTCTTTCTACAGAAACTTATGACCACGTCCCTTGAAGTTTTATGTTTCTTTGCATATCCGGTTGGCACTCTATATACTCGATCTACATCATTGCCTATGATTTCAGTACTCACATCCATTAGGTCTGCTAGCAATTCTATCATTATTTGTTTCACGTTTTCGTTTTTTGATTCCTCCAAATTTCTGATTCTAAGTTGGTATTCCAGTTCTCTATTTTCCATCAATTCTGTTTGGGTCTGTATTTTTTGATTTATGTTTTCCAATTTACTCATTCTGTTTTCCATTTTTCCTTGGTTAATTAATATTTTTGAGTTTTCTTTTTTCATTTTGTCCAGGTCTTCTTGTAATTTATTTATGTTCTTCTGGAGATCCGTTTTCATGCTATGCAGTTCTGTTTTCATACTGTGCATTCTGACAGACTATTCACATAAGCAGTCAGTCAATTTCACCGCATGTTTTCAAACTGCTAGATTTTCCCAATTCTGCCAACCTAGCAGTTTGAAAACATGCAAATGTGAGTAGATAAATAGGTCCTGCTTTGGCAGGAAAGGCATAAGACGCTCCAAACAGTTATGCCGGTCACACAACGAGGAGGTGACAACGCAGGCTCCCTCAGCTTGGAAATGGAGAACAGCACCTCCCCCAGAGCCAGAAATGAAAGGAGAAGCCTTTGCCTTTGTTTGTGTTTGTGTGTCTTATTTAACAAGGCATTGAATGTTTGCCGGTATCTGTTCATACTGTAATCCACTCTGAATATCCACATGAAAAAGGGTGGAATATAAATCAAGTGTTGGCATTATTATTATTATTATTATTATTATTATTATTATTATTATTTGAAACACAACAAGATGAGTCCACAAGCAGACACTCTGCTGGCTGTTGAATTGGGTCACATGTGTCTAGGGCTGTGTGATGTATCAGTGAATAATGTGTGCAGATCCCAGTAAGGTGGCCTTCTGCAACTGGCAGATGGTAATTCTGTCAGCGCCGATTGTGTTTAAGTGCAGGCCAAGGTCTTTAGGCACTGCACCCAGTGCGCTGATCACCACTGGGACCATCTTTACTGGTTTGTGCCAGAGTCTTTGCAGTTCGATTTTTAAATCCTCATATCGTGTGAGCTTTTCCAGTTGTTTCTCTGCAATCCTGCTGTCACCTGGGATTGCGACATACTTTGTTTTTTAACACGATTGTGAGGTCAGGAGTATTATTATTATTATTTAAGTGTTACAAAAAATTTATCCCCATGTACTTCTCTTGTAATACTGTTGTTATGTGCTGCCAAGCCAACTTTGGCTGATGACAATCCTATGAATGGGAGACTTCCCAAGAGATCCTGTTATTAACAGCCCCACTTAGGCTTCAGAACTCAACTTTGTGGTTTCCTTGAATGAATTAATCCACTTATAGTGCATTATCACTATTTTCCTACTAGATTTCCCCTTTACCAAGAATTATCGTCCTTTATATTTTCTATTTACAATCTACTTGTTCGTTGACCCACCAAGAAGTTTGATGACATTGGGGTGATCGAAGTCTTTCATGCACGCAGCTTCTCGAAGGAACTCCTCAATTTCTCGTTGGGAAAAGCTGTCCACTGAAAGCACAGCAAAACACCAACCAAACAGTTAAGGTTAACATTCCAAATATCACTTCTAAAATGCTTTTCACTTCCTTATCTATACAAAGTGAGCATTAGCATGGGTTGAATAGAAAGGAACAGGGTGTCCCTGGCAGTTAGATCTCTAAGAAAGTTATTTTCGTGGAAATTAGAACCAGCATTTTTTCCACTGAGTTTACAGAAAGGTCATTTAACAAGCATGCAGTATATAAAATCCAAGTTGTTACCTTGGCAACCTTTTTGGAAGCACACAATCAGACCATTTGGTTGGAAGTTTCAAGGCAGATTTTCAAGACACCCTTAAAATTATGAACTAGAGCATCTTCTTCGGCCTGATGCTATCTTGGATGTCAACACTCATGATTCCCAGCCACCACAGCCATGGAAAATGGGAATTGTAATACAACACATCCAAAGGACACAAAATTGGGGGGAGGCTTAGCTAAAGCTTGCTTAGGATCAATTGCTAATTTAGGATTTTCATCCTGTTCTCTCAGGTCCAAAGCACGATCATTGAAGCTACAGGGCTACATCACTGTTACTTCATCTAACTCTGTTTTCCATATATGACTTCAAGAAAAAAAGACACTTTCAATGAAGTCTAAACAGAAAAATATATTGATTGTGTCATTGACAACATAGTAATTAGGTGGGAGAGAACTTAAAGTCATTGTCCTCCTGAAACTAGAAATCCTAAGATTTCATAGTACAGAGCATGGCAATATGGTCCAGATGCTATTTTGTGTGATCTGGGTGCACTTCTCTTCTGACAGATTGAATCAGTAACAAGTCTATTTCTTCCCTTCTTATAGCAAGGTTGAGCACAGCACTACATGCTTGAATGTCTCTGAAAAACAAACAGCTCCAAGCCCATCAAGATTCCTGCTTCTTGGCAGGGGGTTGGACTGGATGGCCCATGAGGTCTCTTCCAACTCTTTGATTCTATGATTCTATGATCTGCTGGTTACTTACACTTCATGGTTTTCACAGCAACTTTCTGAGTAGTTCCATCAGGATTGTTGAGACTCCCTTCCATGACTGACCCAAACTCTCCTGGATCAACAGAGAAATACACCTGCATTTGTCTCAGTTCCCAGTATTTTACTCAGAAGAATCAGTAGAAAGGGTTATAATATCACATTTGCTGCAATGACTCTCCAGCCTTTCGAACGTTGTAATAACCAGAGGAAGTCATATGTGAGGCTCACCAATTCCACAAGAGTACCTCTCATTAATCAATCCTGTGACTACTTAGAAGCAACTCAAAACATTACGCTGACGTATTGGAGTTACAACTCACATATGTTCTAAGATAACACAAAATGTGTATGTACAGCTGGGGGAGAGAGCTTGCAATGAAGCTAGATATGTTTAACCTCCTACACTCGCCAAGGCAGAACTATCTTCATAGTTGTAATCCAATGCACTACACTGTATTGGTTCCCATTGATCAAGCTAAATCCAGGGAAGTCATGCTACCCCTCTATTCTTCCTTGGTCAGACCACACCTGGAATCACACTGTGTCCAATTCTGGGCACCGCAATTGAAAGGAGATGTTGACAAGCTGAATGTGTCCAGAGGAGAATGACTAGAATGAACAAGGGTCTGGAGAACAAGCCCTTTGAGGAACGGTTTAAAGAGCTGGGCATGTTTAGCCTGCAGAAGAGAAGGCTGAAAAGAAACATGATTAGGGCCATGTATAAATATGTGAGGTAAAGTCATAAGGAAGAGGGAGAAAGCTTGTTTTCTGCTGCCCTGGAGACTAGGACACAGACAATGGCTTCAAACTACAGGAAAGGAGATTCCACCTGGACATGAGGAAGAACTTCCTGACTGTGAGAGCTGTTCAGCAGTGGAACTCTCTGCCCCAGAGTGTGGTGGATGCTCCTTCTTTGGACGCTTTTAAACAGAGGCTGGATGGCCATCTGGTGGGGGTGCTTTGAATGCGATTTTCCTGCTTCTTGGCAGGGAGTTGGACTGGATGGCCCATGAAGTCTCTTCCAACTATGATTCTATGATTCTAAATGAAGAGAAATCTCCCTACCTGGAGGAGGATGCTTATGAAACAGTCTAATGGATAAAGGCCAGAGCCCTGACACTTTGGGTATAAAAATAAGCAACAAACTGCCTCTAGAGCAGGCATGGGAAAACTTCAGTCCTCCAGGTATTTTGGACTTCAACTCCCACAATTCCTAACAGCTGGTGGTTGAAGTTCAAAACACCTGGAGGGCCAAAGCATGCCCATGTGTGATCCAGAGGCTTCAATGTTCAGCAAGTGACATTTGGAACTGAAAAGGGACATTATATTTTGTGAGCCAGTGTGTCAAGAATTTGTTTACTTAAATATAATTATTCCATCCTTTTATCATGAAATTTCAGGGCAGCAAATGGATAAAACAATATCAGTTTTAAAAATCCATATTAAAATTGGATTACAACTTTAATCTGGATTAAAATCAATAAATAATTTAAACAGGTTGCAAAATATTAAACAACTTAACATCTTAAAAAAAACCGAGAAAAAAGAATGTGATACCTTAAACTAAACCCCAACTTTAATGTTCCTTTCTTTTCATTCACTTATAGCCCACTAACTGGGCTCAAAGAGGCTTATCGAAAGCCATTTCTTGAAACCAACATTGATGCCAAGCAGGCTTCCAGCAAGAAGACATCCCAAGCATAAGATGCTGAGAAGGTTTTCTATTGCATGTAAACATTGCATTGCCTCCAACTGATAAGATACAGAAGTCGGCCTTTCCAGAAGATCTCAGTCTTTATACCTCCAACAGCAACTCTGGTGTTTATTTCTTCCATAATATTTTGGTTCCACTTCCCCTCACCCTACTTGTGCTATTCTCAACAAAAATATCTTTTATGTGGTGTAAATTGCCTTCCCACATTGTGGTTAACAGACTAAGAACTCCAGTGGGCGGATTTACCCTGGAATGTACCACACACTGTGAAAGCGATCTTCTTAATCTAGGTTGTGTCATCGGTTGCATCAAAGAACCTCAGGGCACTTGAAAAGCCTTAACATTTTGGTTGTAGCATGAGTTACACTCCATCAAACAAAGGAAAAAGCGGATATAATCCATTCCATTTTGGTCCCCAAATACTGCTCCAATAAATATACAGTATTATTCTTTAAAAAAACTATTGTTTTCAGCCAACATTGAAGCTTTCACAACATGTGTTTTTCCAAATATTGTGGAAAATTTCCTAAGGATGTATGGAAGGGAACATGGGCAATATGGAATATACAGTTGTTGTTCATTCGTTCAGTTGTCTCCGAAACTTTGTGACCTCATGGACCAGCCTATGCCAGAGCTCCCTGTCGGCTGTCACCACCCTCAGCTCCTTCAAGGTCAGTCCAGTCACTTCAAGGATGCCATCCATTCATCTTGCCCTTGGTCGACCCCTCTTCCTTTTACCTTCCACTTTCCCCAGCATAATTGTCTTCTCTAGGCTTTGCTGTCTCCTCATGATGTGGCCAAAGTACTTCAACTTTGTCTCTAGTATCCTTCCCTCCAATGAGCAGTCGGGCTTTATTTCCTGGAGGATGGACTGGTTGGATCTTCTCGCAGTCCAAGGCACTCTCAGAACTTTCCTCCAACACCACAGTTCAAAAGCATCTATCTTCCTTTGCTCAGCGTTCCCTAAGGTCCAGCTCTCACATCCGTAGGTTACTACAGGAAATACCATGGCTTTGACTATGCGGATCTTTGTTGCCAGTGTGATGTCCCTGCTCTTTACTATTTTATTGAGATTGGACATTGCTCTCCTCCCAAGAAGTATACAGTGTCAGGAACCGGTTTCCAGGCCTTGAGTCTTGGTGCAAAAAAACAGAATCCTGACATGGACTGCTGATAAGAATGTGCAGCTGGTGGCCTTGGGGGGAAGCAGTTGGCATTTGGCGGGGAATATTGCGCGGGAATCTCGGCCGGCGGGAAAAGTGAATTCAATTGTGAGGGAGGGTATATAAGGGTTAAACTGCGGCTGCCGGCCAATCCTGGCTTTCTTCGTGTATGAATGTCCAGCAGTAAAAGTTCCTGATTGATTACGGATTGGCATCCTGTGTCGTTATTGGGAGCGGCTGCTGTGAGCTTACAATACAGTATACAGTACAATTGCTAAAAAGGTATATGATACAAACCCTCTCCCAAGATCTTCCCCAGGGACAGGTTCGTCCTGACAATCACAACATCCTGGAGTTTTTCTTGCAGCTCTTCACTCACGCCAAGGCTACCCACTGTAAAGAGAGGGATTTGGGTAAGCTAGAAAAGATAGTGCCTTCATTTCAAATCATAAGATATACATTGAGGGAAAAAAGTTTCAACTTGAATGTAAGTTGAGCCACTGAAAACCACAAGAGTTAAAAAAAATACTGAGCATGTGCTAACTTGCATCCCTGTGCAGATGTAAACAGCAGAGAAAGCACAGCGCTAGAATCCCCACATTTCCATTTCAAAAATATTTTCCCCACATTCTAGCCTTTTTTATGGAGATACAAGAAGTTGTACATGGGCTATAAAGAATAGTTTAAAATCTTACCTACACCATTTTATAAAACAGATTGTGCCTGACAAGATTTGCAGTATTGATGTGAGTTTGTGGTACTATTATGTGCTTGGGTTGGTGTAGGTTTTTTCGGTTTATATGGCCATATTCTAGAGGCATTCTCTCCTGACGTTTCGCCTGCATCTATGGCAAGCATCCTCAGAGGTAGTGAGGTCCGTTGGAACTAGGAAAATGGGTTTATATATCTTTGGAATGACCAGGGTGGGACAAAGGACTCTTGTCTGCTGGAGCTAGGTGTGAATGTTTCAACTTACCACCTTGATTAGCATTTGATGGCCTGGCAGTACCTTGTTCCAGAAGCATTCTCTCCTAACATTTCACCTGCATCTATGGCAGGCATCCTCAGAGGTTGTGAGGTCTGTTGGAAACTAGGAAAATGGAGTTTATATATCTGTGGAATAATGTCCAGGGTGGGAGAAAGAATTGTTTGAGGTAGGTGTGAATGTTTCAATTGGCCACCTTGATTAGCATTTAATGGCCTGACAGTTTCAAGGTCTGGCTTCTTACTGCCTGGGGGAATCCTTTTTTGGGAGTTATTTCTCCCACCCTGGACATTCCAGAGATATATAAACCCCTTTTTACTAAGTTTCCAACAGAACTCGCAGCCTCTGAGGATGCCTGCCACTGATACAGGTGAAATGTCAGGAGAGAATGCTTCTGGAACATGGCCATACATCCCGGAAAACTCACAACAACCCATTATTTGGTGTGTTTTTAAAAAATAGAACAAAGGAGAGCTGTAGAAGCAAACGGAAAACTTACGTGTGAGTTCAACAGCTCTGCGGCAGTAGGACTTCTTTGCTTTGTAATTTACGGTCAGTTCTGACTCATCACTGCCGAAAGCATACCTAATGGAGTCAGGAAAATACAACATTTTAATATTGTGGTAGCAATATTTCACTCACGCTGAATTCTTTGGAAAGCTAGGGAGTTGTAGCTGCCAAAAGGCAAGTGATTTTCTTCGCCAAAGGAATTTTCATGGACAGGTGTTTAGCTTGCCAGGAATTCAAACAATCTAAAAGGAAAGGAAGTTCAAGCATTCTTCATCTTTTCCCTGCACTGCATTACGTGATAACAGTTGTTTTCTCAAGAAGCACCTGATAAACTCACTTTGGTGATAAAGGCAATGCTGAGTCACTTAACTATTTTGGGGTGGGTTAGGGAAAGGACATTACTTAATCATTTCCTGTTCCTTTAAACAGTGTTCACTGATGTGAAGCCTAAGGACTTTCACTTCTATATATGACATTTCTTTTCCTTTCGGGATTGACCATTCTAACATCTCAAAGAGAAACCAGGAGCTTCTGAACAAACAAGGAGCAAAGTAATAAGGTCCACTTAAAGTCTGATGTAAAATAATATAAATACTGGAACAGAATCCAAAAGATAGACTGTGCTGATATTAATAAAACAAAATGCAATAGTGATAAATGGATAGTAATAATAATAATAATAATAATAATAATAATAATAATAATAATAAATATAAATAAAAATGTAATGTTCATTTGTGAGATTAACATAACTCAAAAACCACTGGACGAATTGACACCAAATTTGGACGCAATACACCTATCAAGCCAACGAGTGACCATCACTCGTAAAAACACTGAAAAACACAGCAGAAGGGACTTAATAAGCCAAAAAAACCAAAAGACGCATTACAATGCATTTTGCAAAACTACATATATACACAAACCCACATTTATGCACATATACACAAACATATACATACACACAAAACACATATACACAGACTGGGCCACAGCAATGCGTGCTCAGGGGATGGCTAATAATAATAATAATAATAATAATAATAATAATATGGATCATTGATGTTGCAATCCCAGGCGACAGCAGGATTGAAGAGAAATAACTGGAAACAACTGACACAGTACAAGGATTTAAAAATTGAACTGCAAAGACTCTGGCACAAGCCAGTAAAAGTGGTCCCAGTGGTGATCGGCACACTGATACAGTGCCTAAAGACCTTGGCCTGCACTTAAACACAATTGGCACTGATAAAATTACCATCTGTCATCTGCAAAAGGCCATCCTACTTGGATGTGCACACATGTACACAGATGTACATGAGGCAGGGCATTGTGGGCAAGCATACACATGCAGAGTTGCACAAGGTGGAGAATTCTTCTAGGTATTTAGTCAGGTTGTTTTTTGATCTGCCCACTCCACTTCTGAGTCAGTTCAGGGACTTCCAAGTTGCCTATTCTTGGTTTGCCCCTGGAGGAAGACCTTCATGCGGGGCCATCCAGTTGGAATTGCCCAATTTTGCTGCCCACAGGGATATTCTTGATGTTACTGGCAGAACATTTAGAGGAGTGGTGGTTCTCCTGAAATTTTTCCTTGATTTGCGTGTACTGGGAGCCATGCAGTGGATGGCTTTCATAGTGTTCAACCTTATTTCTCTCACAGTTGGCAGCAACTTCCCATCGCACATCAGGAGGTGAAAATGCCAACTAGCTTATACAGTCTATCAACAGGTGTACATTTGAGACATCCTGTGATTATTCTACATATTTAGTTCAGTGCTATATTCACCTGCTTCGCATGGGCAGACTTGTGCCAAACAGGTCAGGCTTACTCAGCTGATGCCCCTATTAATTTTGGGTTTGCACCCCATGTGCTACCAGTAAGTTTCTGCAGGATATTATTGCATGTAGCTACTTTGTGCTTGGTGTTGATACAGTGTTTCCTAAATGTTAGTGTTCGATCAAAGGTGACACCGAGATATTTAGAATGGGAACAGTGTTCAAACTCTTGGCCTTCCCAAGCAACTTTCAATTTCCTGTTGGCTTCACAGTTATGTAGATGGAAAGCACACTGACCTCAGATGGAGTTCAATGTTAGAATCCCCAAAAAATGGCAACAATGTGCAGTGTTTATAGTGGACTCTGCTGAAAATGCTTCAGCTGTACTCTATGAAAAGGAAAACCAGCCTGTTTAGCAAGCCTTACATATGCTGATTGGTTATTTATTTATTTATTTATTTTACAGTATTTATATTCTGCCCTTCTCACCCCGTAGGGGACTCAGGGCGGATTACAATGTACATATACATGGCAAACATTCAATGCCATAGACACACAACATATATAGGCAGACACACAGAGGCTACTTAACATTCCAGCTTTTAGATGAGGGCATTCTGGCCACCAGGGGAGATGTCGCTTCACCGTCCATTTGTGACACTGATGAAGTACTTCCTCATTCTTTGCATGCTTGTGGGAGATTTTTATGGCATCGTAAATTAGTTAAATTGGCCTCCCTGCATACGTGTTACCTAAATTTCCAACCTGACAGGTGCAACTGTCTTTCGGGCTGCAAAGGTCGACAGAAAGCTACACAAATTGGTTGGAAGCTCACTCCGACCCGGGCTGGCTTCGAACTCATGACCTTTCAGACAGTAGTGATCTTAATGCAGCTGACTCCCAGCCAGTTGCACCACAATTCCGATGCCAGTAAATGTTTGATTTTTAGACCTATTTTATATGCCCATACACTTGGGGTCACGCAAAAATTTCTCGGATGGAAAGGAGTTGTGAATGGAAAACATTTAAGAAGTTCTGCTTTAAAGCAACTCTAAAGGGACACAGAGGCTGTACGGGAAAGAAGTTGCCTGTTTATGCAGTAACCAATCCTGCTCAGGGTATTTCTTAACAAAGGAATTATGCTCCAAAAATGTCCATGTAGTTAAAAAAATATATCCGCAGCAACATCTAAGCTACTGCAAGCAACTCATGGTGTCCTAACAGACAAAGGAGAACCAAATTGACCGTTGCATTAAGATGAAGAAACATGGGAGATTTTGTATTAAAGTTTCAAGTAAGCTAGATTCCCAGAAGTGTGTTGTGAAAAAAAAAGAAATATTTTGGTGCCCTCAGAACAGCTGGTTATTTCAAAAGGCTTTCTTTAGAAAGGAGAAAAGAAAAGGGCTGATTTGTTTAGAACTTTATTGTACAAGGTCACAAGGGAAGAAGGAGTTTTGTGAACCCAGATTACAATGGGCCTTTGTTGGGAGTATGAAACAATCCTTGCATGCCATGGGAGAAAAGTGGCCGCCTTCCAGCTAGTAAAGGCTGAGGATTAGAAGCGTTTTCTGCAGTAAACAAGATAAACATTTGCACAGCACAACCTGTTCTCTTTCTTAATATATTTTACTGATATATTATGTTTTACATGATGTTCACTGTCTGTATTGTTTGCATTTCAATGTTATCTCATTGTTTTCATCTCATCCTCTTCCTGCACTCATGCATATACAATGTGCCAAATCTGGCTGACATTCCATGAATTTGACAAAAGTAGATTCTTGTCCATGAATATTTCATATTGTAATAAAATGTGTCTGTTTGTCCATATCTAATTTCTGTTGACAGAATCACTTCCAATTGTATAACAACCAATGACATATTTCCTATTGACTGATTATTTCCAGAATGATCACTCAATACAGGAATATCTTAACTGAATACAGATTCTGTTGCAAACAAGACAGTAGTAACTAAGTATGCAGAGAGATCCTAATGCCTTTCACTAAGAATTTGACAGTGATAAATGGGAGCCTTGGCTGTTTAGTTGTGCATTTAAGTAATCAGATCTAATTTGCCAAATAGTCACTGTTGAATGTTTTTATGTTGAATGTTTTTATATTGTGTAAATGCTATTTTAGACTGTAAGTCACTCGGAGCACCTTGGTGGAGAGCGTTATTCAGCAGTGGAACACTCTGCCCTGGAATGTTCCTTTGGAGGCTTTTAAACAGAGGCTTGTTGGCCATCTATCGGGATGCTTTGAATGTGATTTTCCAGCTTCTTGGCAGGGGGTTGGGCTGGATGGCCCATGAGGTCTCTTTCCAACTCTATGATTCTATGATCTATTTCAGTGGTCCCCAACCTTCTTTTGACCAGGGACCACTTTGACCAGGGACCACCCTCCAACATTAGACATTGCACCAATTATCCTGATTTAGCCAAGAGAGCCTTGATTAATCCTCTGTCTTCCAGTTTTCTAATCTGATTTTTAAATCATCCCAGTTTCTCTTTCCTTTTCTCACTTTCCTCTTTTATACTCAGTTACTTGGACTGCTGCAAATGGAATTCAAAGTATAAACACAATTTGCATTCAATTAACACAGCAGAGAGAAGAGGAAGGAAGGGTGAGGCCCTTCCCTGTAGACTGAGGTCCCATCTACAATCTATATAAATAAAAATGTAATGTTCATTTGTGGGATTAACATAACTCAAAAACCACTGGACAAATTGACACCAAATTTGGACACACGACACCTATCAGGCCAACGAGTGACCATCACTCATAAAAACACAGAAAAACACAGCAGAAGAGACTTTAAATAAAAAGCAAACCCCAAAATACATTACAATGCATGTGCAAAACCACATATATATACACAAACACACACATATACACACATCTATGCATATACACACACAAAACACATACACAGAAAGGGGGAAGGAAGAAGAGGAAGGAGGAGAGAAGAGGAAAGAAGAAGGTAGAGGAAGGAAGAAAAAGAAAGGAAGAAGGAGGAGGGAGAGAAGGAAAAAGGAAAAGAGGAAGAGAAGGAAAGAAGGAAGGAAAGAAAGGAGGAGGGAAGGAAGGAAAGAGATAAAGAAGGATGGAACCAAAGAAAGGAAGGAAAGAAACAGGTAGAGAAGGAAGAAAGAGGGAAAGCAGAAGGGAAAGAAAAAGAGGGAAGGAGAAAGAGGAGTGAAAGAAAGAAAGGAGAGAAAGAGAGAGGGAAGGTTGGCCACAGCAACATGTGGTGGGTACAGTTAGTTCCATATACTGTAAAATCCAGATTATCTGCTT